TCCTCGGGCCGAATCGCAATCTGATGGTACCCGAACTTCAGATCTATTTTACTGAATTATCGGCACCCTTGCACTCTATCTAGCAAGTCAGCGATGCGCGGTAGGGGCTCGCCGTTCTTGACAGTGATAGCATTGAGGCCCCTATAGTCAATGCACATCCTCAGAGTTCCCCCCTTCTTTGGTACGAATAGGACTGGAGATCCATAAGGGGAAACACTCGGCCGGATCCAACCCTTCTCTACGAGTTCCTTGAGTTGCCGGCGAAACTCATCAAGCTCGCCTGGAGACATCCGATAGATCCTACCCTCCGGGATGCTAGACCTTGGGATAATCTCTATTGCGTGGACGACCGCCCTCTCAACAACCCCTTTCGGCTCTTCAAATAGATCAGGGTATTTAGCAACTACTCTCTCTATCTCCGACAGCATTTTCACCGGCTCGCCTGTTGCAGAGACATAAACTAGATACATACCCTCCTTCGGATTTTGCTTATAATAATTGTAGAACGCGGCCGCACACATGCATATGCTGGACTCGATCAGACTACTAGCCTTAAACTTCCGTAATCTGGCGGTCCTCCCACCTAGAAAAATGTGCTTGACCACTTTTCGGTCCCAATCAAACTGGGGCTGTGCAATCGAAAGATAGTACATACCCAACAGAATGTCCATTGGGAGGTCATCGCCGACTAGGAATGAGACGCGATGTCTCAGTTCCTCTCCCGCGCAGCACTGAGGCAATTGCCTCCAGGACTTTAGGATTGTACCCTGCTACATTTCACTTTCTGCTGTTAGTTAGGATGTGTATACCAGACATTTGCTTTTCATTTGACATTGTGTAGCTTAGGCTGCATCGCATGGACTCCGCATGGAGCTTACTCCTCATCGTATATTTCTCAACTTTCTTTATTGCAGAGTTCCGCTGCTTTTGCGGATAGCGTGTTTATGACTCTTGTGATCCACTACAGGTACGAGGATCATGCAGCGGGCCTCTATCTGCCCTGGCCTGCAGCCAGGGCATATCGGGCTATTTGCCTGTTCGGCCTGTGGGGCCAAGCCGTGGCCTGACCCCACAGGCCGTGTGTTGTTCCAGTCCAGTCCACTCCTGCCCGGTACCACTGTCAGTACCAGGCCAGTCCAGGCCAGTCCAGTCAGTCCGCTGGGGGTATACCCCAACTGTTGTCTGTTTTCGAGTCATTCTTCATTCTGCACATTTTGGAGTACGTGCGTGTTGAGTCCGCGTAGGAGGTGTGTTGTCCCTTCCAGCTCCATCTCCATCTCCTCCTCCCTCAACCCTTCGTCCTCATCTTGATGGACTGCCATCCCGGCGGGTCCGCCACATAGCTTCCGCAGACTCGATATGCTGTTAACAACCGCCTCCATATGGGTACGCTATCGATGATATAGAACGCATCTCGTGTGCACGAGTTGCGCACGTGCAAGCATGTGGGTGCATGTGATGCGGCGCACCCTTTTAATAGGGGTCAGCAAAAAAATCAAGGAGGGTAGGGCGTGGTGGCCAAACAAGCCCCCCCTGCCCCTCCCTTCGAAGAATATAAACTGCAAAGGAAAAATAAAATTGGAGCTGCTTCACACCCCAAAGCTTTGTGTGGATGTGTGTACATGTGAGTGCATATCCTCATTAGATCGTCTCCTTTTTATAGTCCCCTGCAGCTACGTTGAGACGGGAATTGAATCTAAAGCCCTTAAAGAACGGGCCAACAATATATCCTGTGGATTCGAGTTCAGGTCTGTGTTCAACAGTTATGGGTTACTAACGCAGCAACGCCCTGCTGGTCTCTGCACGTGATTCTCTTTTCTCTTGTTTTGCTTTTCTTAGGAACACGTGCAGTGCCTTATGGTCCTGGCTCCATATCCATTCTGGGAAGCGTCAGTCCGCTTCCTTTCCACCAGCAAGTCGAAATTGAAATACATGGTGAACACTCACACGCTTCCTTCCGTCTGGCCGAAGGAACCCTGACCAGCATTGATTGCTCCCTATCAGGAGGATTGACTGTCAGCTTGCCCACCCACTTTTCCTCTCAGAGACTACAGTGTCTCGACCAGATAATACGTATAAAGCAAGAAAAGGGGAGAGTTGTCTAGACTGTTGAGATTATAATCTCAGTTTGCTCTTCACTGGGTCCCTATTCTTGTGTTATGCCACTTCTTCCACACCATTCTATTGTCCACCACAGTGGCGATCTTTCCCTGTAGAAGCCAGTCTCTTATGAATTTACGTCTCTTTGTGGCTATCCTTTCTGGTCTGCCTTTCGTCGTCAAGGTCACTTCTCGCCATTTAGATCGGATCTCTGTTTCAACCATTCTCAGCAGTAGAGCCCACATTTCTTCTCTTGGCACTTCAGTTCCTTAGATCGTCTTGGAGCATCTCCTCTTCCAGATTACCCATAGGGCTAGCTTTCTGAGTAGGTGGAACCAGACTTCCTTGCCGCCTTTGAGATTGTTAGTGTCGTTAGGTAGGAGCAGGATGTTCAGGGGGGTTGTGGCCGGGGGAGGAGATGAGAAAAAGGATGGTCCATAGGTCGCGCACTTTTTTCCAAATCCATGTTGCTTCCGTGCAGTATAGGAGGCAGTGGGGTATGTCTTCCAAGGCGTTGTCTGTGCATAGTCTGCATATATCAGTGTTGTCGGGGTCTGTGTGCTTTCTTCTCTTGTGGAGCCACTGATTGGTTGGCAGAGAGGCGTGCGCTAAGAGCCACTGCATGCTTCAAAACCTAGCCGGTCTAATGGTTAGGAATTTTGTCCACGGGGTGGATATGGGGGCCGAGGGGTCCAGACTCAGTATCTCCCTCCATTTTCCTTTGAGCCTGGGATCTGGGTCTGTGGTTTGTAGGCCTAGCTCGTCGTATTCGGCTATTGTTCTCGTCCTCCTTGAATTTCCCTGTTCCCATAACCATTCTTTCGGGTCGAATTCTAGCTCTGAGATGCTGAGGTCCGGTTGAAAGATTTTCCAGGGTTTGGCCTTTGACACCCTCACTTTCCTCAGTCGGAAGGCCTCGAGTATGTCGCACTGGGGATCTTTGTTCTGGATTTCCAGCTCATTTGTGCTGTGCTTAGCGATGGGGTAGGAGTAGAATTTGGATAGGTAGCCGGGTGGGCTACTAGTATGCCCCAGTCCCCGGATTTCCACGAGAATTCCTCTGTTCGGAGGGGGAGCCATTGTGTTGGGATACTATTTTGGATCAGCGTTAAGTTATCGGAGAGGGCGTGGCAGCCTTTTAATGTGTTGCGTAGTTCCTGATCCGTTGCCCATCGTCGTTGGTCTTCTACCCAGATGTGCTTGACCTGCCACACGCCCTTTTCTACCCAGGATAACCATCTGCGGTCCCGTGAGCGCAGGGTCCAAGTCGTTCCACTGGGGTCAGTGATCCAGGAATTGCAGAAGAGCGGTTGTCTCAGGACTTCTTCTCTGTTACCTGCTGCCCCGTGTTTACTCGGCATCATTTCACGGGAGGAACTGTCTGGTGAGAATCTTGATTATCCATTTCATCTGCAGTGCTATGGATTCCTGGTTTGGGTCGACTATAAGTTAAAAAAAAAAAAAAAAAAAAAAAA